GTTGTTGATCATTCTTATTGATTCCGCTCCAAATCGTTCTTCAAGGTTATTGGACTTGGATCCTCCAGATATCATTGAGTTGATCCGATGCGATTGCTGAAAGAAGCCTTTGTCACTTAGTCGTATCAAGGGACCTCCATGTTTACACGACCAGGAATCCGGTCAGCCACAGAAAACCACAAGGTACTTCGCAATGTGTTGTTCAGGGTTCCAAGATGTTCCAAGTACCTTCTGAGAAGGGTTTTGGGATAGATTGTGATATTGTATTCATTCTACCGCCTAGCTCGTCCCAGCAACTTGTATTTGTTCCAATTGTTTTGCTCCAGTGATTCTAGTGGTTTGTGCGTAAGGGTTTGTAAATATAGACAAGCGACAACCTAGCAACTGGGACCAGTGTGAAACACCAAACTTAGTGTATGGTTCTGGTCCAGGAAGTTTCCGGGGGGTTCCCATGTTTTGTCCACCAATTGGCTGGACCCAAACCAGCGGAGGAAAGTGACATCAAGTAATCCTGCAGACGACCAGGTGCACACTCAGCTCGCAATTGTTTGCTAGAGGATACCATTTCTCCCTTCGGTCCCAATATCCCTTGTACCCTCGAAAGTGAATGGTAAATGTATAACCAATAATATGGCCCGCAAACACCTGCAAACTGTGCAATGCCGCATGCCCATATATATATATATATATACCATGAGGGCCGACTTGTTGTTGTGGCATGTTTTGGCCTTTTTGCATCGCACTAAAATGCGAAGGCCCGACCGGCCCGCCCAGAAGGCACGTGGATGGCGACGGCTTTGCGGTTGGTTAAACACCAAAAACTGAATCACAAATGCTAGGAATGTTGGTTGAAGATCATCCGGTGGAACCAATCTTTGGATGCATTTTTGAACCGTAGCACTTGTAGTAACAGATAGCAATGCTGTAGGTATAGAAAATGGCCACATCATCATCATCGTCGTCGTCATCATCATTGTCATCATCATCGTTTTCATCATCATCATCATCATCATCATCATCATCATCATCATCATCGTAGTGTATATCGGCCAAGACGAGGATGTGGATGGATCAACACCGGAACGCTCCACGAGGATATGCGTGTGGTCAAGAAGCCCACCACAGGGAAAACAATAGACAATGGAAGCCTTGACAAGGTTTTTGTGAGTGATGACTCTACCAAGTACAAGATGTGTTGCCCACCAGGCCTTCTCAATGCAGCATGCAGAGGTGATGGTATCAAACAGCGCACAAACCAACTGACACTGATGGTGTTTCTCTTGGGAACCCTTAATTAAGATGTAGAAGGGCAACCCAAGATGAGCCGAATTAGGCCAAGCGTTCCGCACCCGTGCCTGAATGGCCGATCTCAGAGCCTCTTGGGCCACGGGTGACCCGCCTCCGATCCGCCCAGATGGCTACAGCTCGCGAGTTCAAGCGCTGAGGGAGGCTGGAGTCAGGTCTTTGTCAGGGTTGAGTGGGGAGCTGTGAGCACTTTTTGAAGTCATTTGTTGAATTAGGCCACGCAATTGATCCTTGTTCAGGGGCAATTCCTGATCTTTGTCTTTCAGCTTCGCTCAGTCGTTCATTGACCAGAGAGGATTTGTTTTTCAGATGTTCAAGTTTTTTCCAGAAGCAAGATGATGTGCACCTTCACCCGGGAGACGTGTTGGATGACATTCAAAAGGGTGCCTAGAGTCCTGGAGGATATAACCCAAGATGATCAGGTTCAGAGGTTTTTGGATGTATGGTTTTTGATGCTACAGAACTTACCAATCATGTTCCATTGTGCCCGTAGTAGGCGGAGTGGTGAAGGGACAGCGACCAACCGGTAACCTCCACAATAATTGATGAGGCCGTTGCATGCGCCAACATTCTTCGAGACCGTGCATGTCGACCATTCTAAACCCGAATTCGCGCTCCCCGCAGACATGACGCAAACCCTGTTTCCAAGCGGGACGGACTGGTAGACTGGCCGGTCTCATGAGGCGGCCGAGCGGATTGCCGGGGCCAACCACGTGAGGAGGTCCAGCGGCTGAGATGTAGAGTCCAAGGTCCGAGCAGCAAAGCTTGGTGTTTGGGACATGTTTTGCTGGGGGAGAGTGGAGGGACGTTGTGAAGGCCGTGTTTTACAGGGTTGTTTGTTTGCTCAGACTTGCTCATGATTGTTTTGCACTTGTACGTATAAACATATCAGTGTTTGTCGTTGTCGAACAAAATAGTATGAAGTATGATTGACATATACATTATATTATACAGATGCATATGCAGATTATGCAGTCATATATGCATCTCAGGTGTGTTCCTTCATACCTTGATATAAAGGTTGCTCTTTTCTTTGCACATGTGTTCTGTTAAACCAAACATATACAATTCTTGAATAGCCACTGGTTCACTCTTTTGACAACTGGTCTAGGGTTAGGAGATATTCAATGTTTGGTGTTTGTCTTCCAAATGTCCCATCAGAGTGCGGGACAGAAATAAGGGAGGTTGAAGGTCCAGTGAAGGTACTACTAAACTACTGTGGGACTGCTTTGCTGAAAACAAACACTGCTATTTTCAATCAACAGGTTTGCAGGACTTTGGCCAGCAATTTTTTTTGGGCATAGATTCCGTACTTCAAGTAATTCCATCAAGAGTTGTTATAATTTAGTTGCGTGTGAGACCTGGGGCGCTTTCTTCAGCAGGCATTCTGAGAGCACTCCGAGACGCCTTGTCATTCGGACGTTTGACAGTCATGGTGGGTGAGTTGCCCTTGTCATTGTTCGTTGTGGGGTTGAGCAAACTAGAAAACGACTCGGAGTTTCAATGCGGTCGAAGGCAACATGTCTCACACTTGATCGGCAAGTAGAGTATGGTCGCATGGGTTGTTGTTTTGGTTTTGCTGACCCAGATGAAGATGGTGGTCGCGTGTGAGAAAAAAAACATTGCATGGAAGTTTCACTCACCCATGTGGCACCCAAATCACGTTGACATCATTTTTTGCCATGTGATTGCGTCTTGGGGAGCTAACAGACCCAACAAAGAGCCAAATGTGCTGCCAATGATGCAAAAGGCCGTGCAGAAGTGGTGATGCTCTTCGTGTCAGGGTCCACCAAAACCATCCAAGACCAGGAACGCCACCGTGGCAGACTCCCTTTCGATCGGATGCAGAAGCCAGTCCGTTGAACTCAAACCACTCGAGCGACTCGAAAGTCGAGGTTTTCTCCGGATTTCCCGCACAATTCCGTCAAATGCACCCCAAATCTCAATGACTCAATGACGCCCTCAGTTTGCCCAGTCCAAGCGGCTACTACCATCATGGCCTTTCAGTCCATGACAGAAAAGGGGCCCATGGCTCCATGAAGTGTTGATCAGGAAGCACGTTACAGTGGTTTCAGAGTAGATGGCACAGACCTCAAGCTGTCCATTGACATAGGGGTTCATCACCAAACTTAGGGATTGTGCCATCTACTCTGGGCAAAACAAAGGCTGATTTCGATGTTGGAAACTTCCCACTGAGGAGTTTGCCTGGCAAGATGGACAAATTACGTATAATGGCAGTGGAGTTGGCAGTGGAGTAATTCGAATGATTCAGCGTTCAGATGTTCTACAACTCAATACCATCCACATTCCCATCCCCTTTCTCAGGGAAGGCCTATCCCATTTGTCTATACGCCCGATTCGTTGGATTTGCAAGCTGTCGATGCGCTGGATCAAGCCTTTATATTTTACACTGTAATTTCATATTCCCTGATGATTCGTTTCGTGGCCAACATTGGAAAACTTCCGAGTTCGGCCGGTCGATCACGTCAGATGACTTGCCAAGACAAGGGTCCACGCTTGGAACAAGGATTTGAGATTGTCCAGGAGCCAGCGGGAAAGGAGCAATACCCATGACACGGCCATGTCAATGCGATTGATTCGATTTCAATGTGTACCAGTACCACGAGCAGACCACATAGAGTATATATACTTACTCAAAACATCTTATTGTTGAAAGATTGGAGCAGAAACACGTTCTCAAGCCATTGACACACCAAAGAATCACAGGTCACCAGACGCAACACCCTCGCTTCCCACCCGGCGCCGGCTGCGAACAGCCAGCGATGAACACTGGGGATGACGCGTTGGCTTCGGAGAATTGGCGCCTGGCTGCCAAGTGGGATGCCCCAGAAAGTCGAATGGGCCACGGCCACGGCGGTTGAATTGTGATGAAAGGTATTGAAAGGTCAATTTGCATCAATTTGCCATGATTGGCTATCATCGTGTTGATCCTCCTCGTGTCCACCTCATCTTGCTCCTGTACCTTTGGCGCACTTCTGCTGTAGATGAGGCTCTACACCAAAGAGCTGGCTGCAGCCAAGGAGAACTTGTCGACAGGCGAGTGGAAACAGCCCTCGACCGGACCGGTGTGTTGCGTTTGTTGCCTCACCATGACACATCATTTGGCGTGACGGCGGGGATGGTGGAGACTTGTACCACTTGCATCCACAGTCGGTAGCCGCATCAGTAGCCATGCATTTCGAAGCCAAACTTCCAGTAGAGCTTGCAGGATCTTGCAGGATGCTTCTGTGATGTCAACATTTTCCAATGTGGTGCAGAGCAGCTGACTGACCCGACCTGCCCTAACCATACGCAAGATGTTTGGGGCGTTTTGGAAGGCACCCACGGCCAAGACGACTGCCCGGCGGGTCGGAGGAAGCTGGTCCGCCGGTTTGTGTGGATGCTGACAGGCTCGAATTTGGTGTTGACCGTGTTGACACGAAGGGATGTCACGCTCCTTTCTTTGACGCCATAGCTAACACCCCTGAAGTAGCATGTTTGCATATGATTGCAGCAGCCAAGAGACCATAAAAGAATACAAAAGATATAGTATAGTAAAAATAAACATGTATTATATATATATAAATTTCTATAAGTTTCTATATATAATCGGATATATGACAACACAAAAGGAACTATGTCTAACACACATTCAGTGTGCAAAGGTGGTCATTGCATTCCATTGGCATTCCCAAAGTTCACAGCTTCAGCAGATCTCAGCCCATGTCGGACTCCTTACGGTCTCGGAATGGGTGATGCTATGGAGCCCATCCAGCTGAGCATTTTGAAGTTCGCTGGGGATCCCATAGAGACCAGTGCCAACCCGGAGGAGATCTGCGCAGACCCGGGGAGCGGAGAGCGAGAGCAACCGCAACTGCCGACACAGACAACAAGATCTGTAAACTTGAGCAGCCGCGATGTTGCCAACCATTTCCGAGCTGGCTGCAGCTTTCGCTGGTTGTTCTCGGCAATTTGTAGTCCAAGGAGGGCTGTAGTGTCGGAAATCGTGCTTTTCAAAGCAGAGGAGCAGTTGTGCGTAACTCCCATCCAAAGAGGGTACGCACAGGAGATCGTCATAGATCGTCCAGTTTCATCATAGATCGTCTACACTACCCGGGTTTTGCTGATCAGGTGATTTTGGGTAGGAAAAATCCCCAAACCTGGTGAACATGTTTAGGTTTTTTCGAGGTTCGGAGCCGCACATCCAAGCGCACCACTCTTCACATCACTGCACCATCCAGCAGGTCGGAGGGTCAGCTGAGTTGTTTGCTTTGCGAATCAAGCGGTGGCTTTACATTATGTCATGACATGTCTTGACTGGCAAGTTGTTTGGTACCTACATCCAGTCTGGAGAGTCTTCATCCGATACTACTTCCATGATTGAGCTATTGTTGCCATAAGGGGAAGCAGAGGAACGTGAATGAACAGGTTCAATGGGCAGGGGTCCCTTACTTCAGATATTTTCAGATACTTCAGTGTTGCGGTTCGAAAAAGAGAGCTGGGTCGACTTGGCAAGGTGATGGCCGAAGAATCCTGATTCTAGGTAGCACTCCAACTGCCTCCTCTAGGTGGCTTTGGAGGGTCAGTCCGTACCTTCTGACAAAGAAGCCTGGAAGTTCATGAGGCCACGACCGAGACCAGGACACCGTGGTGTCAGTCAAGGAGCAGATTGCGGAACTGGTTCAAGTACCGGTGCTTTGCCAGAAGCACCTCGGCAAACCGTTCGGGGCATGCCATGGACGCGGCTTGCGCAGCTATGAGTAGCATTTCTTATAAAGCCCTGGAGCTCTAAATTCTATATAATCAAGCCGTTATAGAGCCGATAAGTTCCATAAGTACCCCTAAGATTTCCTCAGCGGCTCTCTTCCCATGAGGAGTGGATCAATGTGGATAATGTTGGATTTTTCACCGAACATCACGTTGCCTCTCCAAAGTCTTAAAGGCAACAGGCATCCTGAGGTAGGAAGCCATTCCCATAAACTCACAACACGTGTTGGGCTCCTTTACACCCCTCATGGCATACCGAGAAATCATGTTGATTTGTATACGCATATGGGAAGACATGGGAAGACTATCACTTCGAGATGATTTGATTCATGTATCGGAGGGTTGAATTTTCATTCACCCTAAGTCGCCATAAAAATAAACCAGCAGAGAACGACAGGGATGCTTCAACATTTCAGGAATATCAATCACGAGGTGTATTCTGATCTTCCAAACCTCCTGGAAGTGATGAAGTCAATAAAACTGTTGAGCAGATTATCGCTGCATTTGGGGTCCCACCCAAGCAACCCGAGCAACCGACCAAACAGCTTCATCCAGGTTCATAGAACCCCAGGTGGAAGCAGCACCGCACCGCTGTGTTTGCACTGCACACCGTTGCAGGCTGTGGCTCCATGAGGCTTCCGGGGAGCAAGTGGGGCGCACCCAGCCACTGCGGAAGAAACGCATGGACGACCTAGAGGAGGTCGGGCAGACACGACCCCGGCAAAACCGGTGTGTTTGGACGACGCTCCGTGGGCGGGTCCGCGGGTCCGGACGTGGTGGCCGGACGCGAGAAGAAAGCGAGAGAAGGAATATGCCAGGCATTGACTCATTGATGTGAGGAGATATGTGTGCACATGGGGAAGCAATTGACTTCACATGAATGGCTGGAAGGATTGTTCACAGATTTGGGGTGACTCTTGTTTCAGATTTCACTGAGGCCGCCGCCCGTTAGAGAAGTGTTTGACTTGTGATTTAAGGGAGGACAATTGGCATTGCACCCCTGCGGACGAGCGCAGGGCACGGGGGCTGTGCGCTGGATTCGGCACACCGTGGCAGTTCAACCGTAAAACAGGTCTCCGCCTCCGCGGGGTGTTCGCAGGGTTTCGGAGGGGCAAAGGATGAACCTAGAACTCGATATTATCCAGATATATCATATATCCACACAATACTTACTTTATAGATCTTCATAGTATAAATAAACAAATATATATATATATACATATGCTGTATAATATACTATGGTTTAGTTTGGTAAACATTCTGAAAAACACTACTGGGAGCTGCCTTGGCACTGGGTCACATTTTTCCAGGGAGTTGTATAATAAACAAAATCCTTTGATGGGGCTACTTGACAGGGTCTTTTGGAACGGCCTCGCGTGGAACGTTCTTTGCTTGACCTGGTGAGGAGTTCCAGTATGGTTGGCAGATCCAGGAGGTGCGAAGTTTCCACTGCCCGCCACTTGGGTTGCACAGCCATATCACCATAGGGGTGGCGTACAGAGGGTCCAATGGATATCAGCCACTGGACCTGGGTCTCGGATCCGACACACCTCGGACAGCCCAAGGCCGCAGGGCGTGGTGGAATGCGTGCACCTCTCGTTGATCCAGGGCCGCACATGAGCCGATTGAAGACAACCAGGTGTTGATTGACCACCGGATGTTCTTGGAAGTGGGAACCCTCCTCCTGAAGGCAGATGTTGGTTGTTTGGAAGGGGAGTTCGGAACGATGTCTATCCGGACCCCCCGGTTACCTGTGAGTCATATCATTTATATATATATATATTTTTATGACATATTATGGTAAACCCTGGGAGGCGGTACTTGGAAGTGTTTCAATGCAATTGAAAGAATCAAGTTCAATACATGTTGGAGCGCTGCGATGGTTTTTGCTGTAAAGGTTCTTTGTTTGTTTTTGCAAGTGTACTGCCAAAGGTTGAAGCTAAGAGACGGCGGGGCAAGATTCCTGTGACCACTTCACCGGAAGTTTGACAAGCAAACACAACTATATATACATGCAATTACATGCAACAATCTATCTATGCCGACTGTTTGGGGCGCGCCTGCCAGCCCAAGACCTCTCAGGCTTTGTTTGTTGTATTATTTTGTTTTGTGTGTTGCTTCTTTGCCACACGTTTACATAATCGGAGTTTTACGAGTAGAGTAATTGCGAAGGAGAATGGTATTGTATGATCTGATAGAGGAGGCCTCTGAACAAGGCAGGATGTTTGTGGCAAGTGTCCTTAAATGCGAAGGATATTCAATTGATATAGCACCTATAATGTCCTATCATTATGTTATATTAGAATATTGTTGTGCATGATGCATACAGCATTGCAACTGATCATTTGACATATTTATAGTGCGTGAATCTATCTTGACAAAGCAACCTTGTCTTAGCATCAAATGTCATTGATGATGGGAATTTGGAAGAATCTCTCTCCTGCATAAGGATATGTTTCTTGAACAGATTTGTAATCTGTTTCAACTGAAGTTCCATTTTTGGTTTGATCTGCCACAGCCTGCCGGACGTTCCTTTTGTTTCAGCATTTCAACCCCTCCCCCTCCAAAAAAGAGATCGCAGCGCACAAGATCGCAGCCATGCCTCCCAGGATTTTGCTGTGCGCCAGCTCCACCTTTGAGATCTCTGACAGTCAACTGAATGTCAGAGGTCATCGCCTAGAGCAATGGGACGTTTGCTGCTTGGAGCAGTCGAAGCGACGTGAATCGCGCGCGACCGAGCTGTGGGATTCTGGCCGAAATCAACATACGGTGTTTTTTTGTTCAGAGGAGATTGGCTTTGCATGTGTTCTTTTTAATTTTTTTTGGGCGGGGGTCATTGACTTTACATGTGTATACTGTAAATATATGACGATATATGATGATATACCCAGATGAATCAAGGAACTTGGTGGAGCTTGGCGGGAGGAAATCCAGAATTCGCTGCGTAGCATGATTTGGATCACGACAACCAACATTTTGCAGATTTCCCAGCTAGGAAGACAGGGTTGTGGAAGACGTAGACAGAGCTGCACTCTATACTATTGTGCTGCCTCAGACAAAGCATGGACACAGAGTGCAAAGTGCATTTGCATGATAGAAGCATGCAGCATGAGTAGTGTAGTGGTGAAGATCAAGATCGAATAAGGGTACATTATGTATTGTTTGGATTTTCCTGACAGCAGACAACAGCGCACACATGAGTTAAGCCAGCATAGTTACTGTATGTTACTGTAAGCGCTAGTTTCATGTCATTCCAGCCAGTTGTTTGTACTCGTACCTCTAGTATGATCCTTTTTTTGGCAACATTTGTGTGGGCAGTGTGCGCCCAAGTATCAAGGTCGATCAAAGTACGCTTTCCCAAATTAGGATCCACACGACTGGTGTGGAAGATAGTGGTTGCAACATTGGAAATTTCAGCTGAAAGCGGATCCAGTGTATATTATACACTTCTTGGCATCGAGGCAAGCGGTTTTTGGAGAACCCCGTCGAGTACATGTCGGCGCTGAAGAAATTTTCAGATGACATTTGCGCAGGGAGGCTTTCTTCGGACCAGGCACGGCCGGAGGAAAAGCATACCTGAAGTCCAAATTTTACTGGCGCTTAAATGCGAAGCGCAGCAAAGGGTAGTCTTAATTAGCTAATTAATTCACCACAATGGCGTGAAGACGAAAGGATTCAAGCCCTTGTTTTGTGTTTCATGCAGGAACATGGCGATCCCTTCGAGGCCCTTTGTCCACTTCTAGATTGGATTTTGCAGCAAACGTGAGCGAGGTGACAACAGTGGCCATTCATCGCAAACGCCGCCCGTCCCGTCCTCTTAGTTTGGATTCATTCTCCTTTGTGTTTTCCTTTCTCGTAATCTCCATTGTCCTTAGCTCCCACCTCCATCTTGCCACCACCCTTGCCATCCTCCAGTACTTGACTTTACTTGTTTTTCTCTTCCACCCAACGCGTTTTGCAATCGTGCCATTGCTGTGCCGCCTGTACCACCTGTGCCTCCCTCTTTCCATCCCCTTTGCCTCCCAGGCAGAACCAGTTTGATGGATTGCCTAGCAGAAGTTAAGCTGCCGGCGAGGCACCTCATAACCGATTCTGGATCAGAAAGAACTGACTTCTGGATCAGAAACAGGGTCGTTTCGCTTCGGGCCACGTGGACTCCAGGTCGAATTGGCGCAGAATAAGATCGAAGAAATGGGCCACACCTTCTCGGCACGCTACTTCCAACGTGTGAGCGTCGCCTGGCAGAAACTGAGCGCGGCAGGCGGCCCATGACGTCCAGGATCACCTACACATGTCAGGGCCTAGTTGCTAGCATCTGCACATGCGAAGGTACCTTAGATATCTCTAGAATTCTCTAGATATATAGTGGCCCAGCCCACGCCTGCAGAAGTTGGTGTTGTGGGCTTAAGAATCGACTGGGGATTTTCGGGAATCCATCGGTCAATCATTCGCCCGGTTTGATTCCACATGAGCCTCGAGCGATGGGCGTGTGTTGGCTGCATCATCCAAGTGTGGTTAGGCCATGGAATGAAACGACGGCAGCTCAAATACTTTACTGGAACTCTTCCAGTTGGTGTGGATGATTCTGGAGCAGATCACGGCGGTGATCCAACTCCAGATCTCCAATAAATATATCGAACGACGACTGCTTGGATCCACCAAGAACGAATCACTGGACAGTGCACTGGTCAGATCCCAACGACCTACAGTATATGATTCAAGGCATCCAAGGGATAGAGTTGAAAAGTATACCAACTGCATCCAACTGCCTACTGCCTACTGTTGCTGTTGGAGGCTATGAAAAAAGCCAGGACGTGAAGTGACCCTCCAAGGTGCCGTTCGACTCGCATGAAAACACGTATCGGCACGTGCCGCGGCAATGCCCCAGGAATTCTGTAGCTTATTGGTGCGCTGGGTGTCTTGTGCTTTGAAGCTCTATCATGCAGTCAATGCCAAAGATGGTCCGCTGGAGACCTGGACTTGGTTTTGTGGACGCGTCGGGGAGGGGTGCTGCGACGGTTGGGGGTGGCACCATGGTTCACCATCCCTTGGGGGGATCAACATCAAATAAAACTGAGACATGTTAATTACTATTCCTGAACCAACTACTCTACTGTACGTTTATATCGATCGTTAATTTTTGGGCGGCCTGTCTTGCGTGCTTTCATTTCAAATAGCGGCGTGTTTATGGGTGTCAGGAGTGCTGCCATCGCATACCATATGCTAGGCCCGGCATTGCTAGGCCAGTGACGATCCAAATTTTTGGAAACAAGAAAAGCCATGTTTTAACCCTCGTGATGATGCATGAATGTGTTTGAACACGCGGCAATCAGAGTTTGCGGATACATATTTAACATTTATAGTATATTTTTCAGGTCCAAACCAAATCCTTCGGTTTGCACCCGAAGAAAAACCAAATGTGTTGTTTTGTTGTAATGAGGGATAGTCAGAAGAATGATAGTACCTTTTTTGGGGGAGGGTGGATGTTGAAAGTATAGATTGAAAAGTAATTCAGGAGTTCTTGTTCTCGGCTTCACCACTCGCGGAGAAGCAAATGAGAATTCTCCGAGTCTCGGGATGTTGTAGGGGTATGTCTCTCTCCGACTCGTACAGTTTAATGGTTTGAGGGTTGACCTCGAATTGTCTAAGATCACACGGGGCAATGGGATCGTTGAGAAGGAGAGCGCGGCAGGAGCCCAGAATAGAATAGGCTGAACTCCGAAGACTCGAACTTCCATCGACGACTACTGTGCAAACATGTGCAAAACAACGGTTTGAGGGCTTCATGATGCTTCATGTTGCTCTACAGAGGTGGTGTAGTTTTTGTGTCATCAGCCTTGGATGGTTTTAGATGCCCCAAGGAGTTGGAAGATGACTTCCAGCTCAGCGTCTACGCTGACGGCAGCAGCTCAGCCGGCTTTGTGGAGCCGTGGGTGAGTGGAGAGTTTACTTAGAGGTGATCTCTTGAAAACCACCCAGGTGGTGGTGGTGGTGGTGGTGGTGGGGGGGGGGGGGGGGGGGGGGGGGGGGGGGGGTGGGGGTGGGCGTGGTGGCTTCAGGTGGTGTACGTCGTTCAAGAGCTTTCCATGGTCGTTCGGAGTCTAGGACCGTCTAGAACCTCAGTGACCCCTATTGGGCCACCCATCGCCCCAATTTGGCCCCTGCTCCTGTCAAAATAGTTCCTCTATGTTCCTCTCGAGGATCATGGCTAGATGCTTAGTCCGTTTCCAGGAAGAGGACCACCCACACTGGCTGGCTGAGGGGGCCCATGCTAGAGAGATTCTGGTCGGCCCGGCACGGAGGCTCCTTGCAGTTGGCCTTGGTGGTCGACCCAGAAGCACTCTTCGAGTCCATGGAGGAGAGTTTGAGGGGTTTGATCCGAAGGCATCTTCACCTCGTGTTACATCTACGCGAGATCAGCTTCAGTGAAATGATGTACACCCCACTTAATAGTTACTATAGTTACTATAGTCTTAATAGCAGTCAAAGTCAAAGTGGTGTGCTGGAGACAAAGCCGCCATGCTCCTCTCCGGCGCCATCCCAGTTCCACCAGGCACCTCTCGAAAAAAGCAATAGAATTAAAAAAAACTCCTGTTGGAGATCTCACATCTCCCACCACCTGGACTCGTCCACCGAGCTCCGTGGACTCGGCGTAGCTCGTCGCGTCTTCCGCCGTCGCTCGTCGCTCTATAGGACTCGATGGAGAAGAAGCTCGAGGCCATCGCAGCGCTGAAGACCTTGGGCGCCAAGTTCCCAGCACCGCGGCGCGCAACGCGCGCGCGCGCGAAGCACGCTTCCGCGGCGCGACCGAGCACGGGAGTTAGAGGAACTAAGTGATGATGGTCAGTGCTAAACTGTGGCATTCAGCCAAGGATGGTACCAGAAGGTAGACAAGAGACCTTGTAGGTGTATGTACTGCAACATACTGTAACTGACTAGATGCCCCGCCAAAGAAGATCGAGTGACAGCGTCATTGAATCACACAATTCGGTCCGAAACATGGCCAGGTGGCGGCCAGGTGTTATGCTTGAACATTTGCTCGTAACATAAAGTAACTATACTTTGAACATTCGCCTTTTGGGCGGGGTGCCATATGTTCAGAATGCGCGCAATGCATTTACTATTTGTTTTTTTCTTGAGCAGAAGGTTTGTTTCGCCACCAGTTTGCAGCGGCTTTCCTGTGGAGTTGGGAACGCGCTTCCAAAAGTTTTCATCTATATTTTCATATGTTAAATATGGTTATTATATACAGCTTTATAGCCATTCTTAAGTACATGTAATACGGATTTGAGCCTCCAAAGTACATTCTATGTATTTCCGGATGGTGACGGTGTCGCCCCGAGGACCGCGCATTAAGAGAGTTGGGGACCGCCCTCATCAGCGGCTACGCGGAGCTGCGAGCCGCGGCACTGGATGCTATCAAAGGCAATGCTGGGAGCGGATGGGCCGTGCCAAATCAAAGTGATGGCAGTTGCTTTCGCCCATTTTTGGGAGCAAGTCATTGGACGGCTGCTTTTGATAGGACGTGAGCATTTTCGACGTAGATAGGTGTCAAACGGTGTCAAAACATCTCAAGGTCATCGGATTCTTTTAGGGGACTCTGCAGAGTTGCACAGGGTTGGCTACCACTTCTCCTTCACTCAGAGGGTGGTCCAAGAACTTCGCTGCGACGCCTTGGACGAACTTCTTGGCTGCTTTGTTGGCGCGGGCCAAACCATTCTGAAGAACTCTCCCCCGGAAAGTGGTTGAGTGTGCTTACACACCATACACAGTAGAAGCTTGTGTTGGGTGGAGGTGGGTGTGTGCCATTTTGGCTCAAGACACCCATCTCCACCCCAAGTCTTGGATAAGGGTCCAACTTTCAGCCTCCCTGTTGGATCAGAGCCATATCCAGTCCACTAAACCCCCGGCAGGATGGCCAGCCAACGAGGAGTTTGCCACCATGCTGCATAACGAGATCCCCATTTTTTATCGTGACTTGATAGAACATAGAAGAAACTTATTGAATTGAACCATATTGAACCTATAGGATAGGACTTACTCGGGATCTTCAGAAAGTCCTGCTTCCTGGCCACAGAGCTCCACTGCCATTGGCCGATCTTCATCAAATACATTATTGTGACTTGTAAGTTGTAAAACACACATAATCACACTATCAATATGAAGTCTATAATGAAGTGCATGCACATATTATATATATATATATATGTTTCAATCATAGATAGTGGCACGGTGTGGGATCTACGTTGTTTTAATTTGTTTTTTGGGTGGTTGTTTGGCGTCACAGGGATTCGGGGCTTCGAAGATCCGGATTGGTGATAATCAGCCGCGGGGCGAAGATGGGCGGAGGGAGCAGAATGGGCTCAGTTGCTTCCAGTGTTGTACTCTGTTTGCAAATATCTACCCATATGTATATATATATAATATGGATGCTATATACAAATTTGAACAAAGACATTATATACAACATACACATCATGCGGCCAAACCATTCCCGCCAAACCCTTGAGCATCCCCACACCAAGAGTTCGCTGCTTGGAATGCACTTCATCCGACACGTGTTTCTCGATTTGAGGCGAGCCGTGTCCCAAAAACGAAGTCCTGGCAGCGTTGGAGCACTTGGGACCTCAACATCCACAGCTCTTGAAGCGAGTGGCCACTGGCTTGAATGCTGGAAACTGCCAGAGGCGGGGTGGATGTGTTGAGATCATCCTTTCTGGAGCGGAGCATGAGTGGGGTGGGAGGGTGGGATTGTTCTTGCTTGGACAGGGACCCTTATGGAGCATAATTGGCGATGTTTGTTTTGTTGATGTTGGGATTGTTTAGTTTCGTTTGCGTCGCGAGCCCCTTCAAGCTCTTATTCCTTGAAGAGAGTGTCGGCTTCTACGTCCAGTGGTTCAGCTGTTTCTTCTTGTGGCTCGGATGGGTTGGCCACACCTGCCCGAGGAGTCGTGTCGCTGTTGTACTAAGATGAGGGAGCTTTGGGGTGGCTATCCGCACGCCGGTGGAAGCAAGTGTTTTGGGCCAAAAATAGCTGTTAAGGAGCTAAGAGGTTTCGTTTCCATTGCCTTTGAGACATTACACATCACAACCACTGGTCCAATTCCGGGCTGTTCCACGGCTTTCTTCGTGCAGGAAGGTGAGTCCAAAGAAGAAGAAGGGGAAGGAGTGGAAACCTGCAGAGGAGCCAGACGAGGAATTCTGCTTGGAAACCTTCAAGCGCCTACAGCTCGAGGAGGATCCAAAAAAGGTGCTGGATTGTGCCTCAATCGCATCGGGGCTTGGATCTCACTAGGCTACTGTTTGGTGTTTTCAAGAATGCTGTAAACAAATGAATTGAATTCCGGAAGAAATTCATTTTGCGGCCCCATCAATAGCATCATGTCACATGTGGGTGTGTCTAAGAGAGAACCCCCTGCTCAGAAAGAAATCTCGGCTCTCGTCTATGTGTTCCTGCCTACGAGGTTTAGGAGGACCATTGGTAGGATATAATACAATAAATATGATTTATCAATATTTATCCTTTCTCATCCTTACCATGACGATCATCACCATCATCATAATCAAACCGGTAAGTCCAAGTATTTAGTATAAGGAGATCAGGTGGAAACTCCATCGGGTTCACACCCAACACGCAGAGCGATCCGGAATCCACGGCAGTGTCCACAGGTTTGGCCTACGCGATCTTCCACCCAGCCACCCGCAGGGCCAACATGGATCTTGGGATCCAAAAACGTGTGGGGATCCAGAGTTGGCCGAAGTGGGAGGTGCGTCAAAAAAACATCCGAGACGTGAACATATGTGCATGTGTTTAAGTGTTTGTATATATTTAAAAAACACATATATTAATACAAGTTCCATGATTAGAGTTCTGTTTGATTCGAATAATTAGGGTTTCCAAGAACGATCCAACAACAGTCAACAGACGTTCTGAACAGAACTCCCGTACTGACTGAATACTGAATACCATGCTTATCCGGATTTTGCTGGGCATGACCCAATCGTTGTTTGACAAACCCACCTTTCACGTGGCGTCGAGCCAATTTGAGCCCAAAGTTTTTGCTGATAGAGTCTATAGAGGAAAGCAGAAATTGTTGGATAGGAAAACGGCAACTCTTCCGACCGATGTTCCTGACATCCATGCAAACATGCGCATCATCCGTGCCATGAGGACATCATTTGCCAAGCCCTTTCCCTCGCCGCCAGCCGCGACTACGACACCGCGGTCCACACCATTGTGGGCCGTGCGCAGTTTGCCGATGAGGTGGAGGAGCCCTGGGTCCGTGCTCGCGCCGCAGAGATGGCGATGTGCTTCGTGGCTTGGGCGATCGAAGAGCGACCTTGATAAAGCAAACTACACCTTCCCGTGAAGAGACAGGTCCCAGGTAATTGTGGACTGAAAACTTTTCATGATTTGTGACTGACATTTTGTGACTGATCCTTAAAGATCAGTGCGGGGAGGTGTACGACGGCAATAAGGACTTGGTAAAATCAAATCCTGATAAATTGGTCTAATTATTAATGATTGTCATCATGGGACGGTCAACTGTAAGACCTCGAACAAATCAAGTGAGGGAGTTTGGTCCAGGAAACGTGCGGGAAATGAACATGACATTGAAGGTCTGAAGGGGAACGCCATAGGGAGAGGATGAAGAAACGATACAACCCAAGAGCCTATAATAATATGCCAAACATGTATCCGGACCTAAGTATCTATAACTGATTCTAGCCTGTGAAGATCTGTGAAGCAATCCTTGGACTTGGAACAAATTTGCAACTTAGTTTGGCTCAGTATACAAACAGGGAATGAGCACTATAGTGTTGGAGCTGGTGTGAGCCAAGGAAGATGAAGGAATGGCCTGGCTGCATTCACAGTGTCTACAGTACATAACACTGATTGAGATGAGTGTTGCAAATGTCCACTGGCTGCCCCGGAGTGTTAGCCACATCGCGGGGCTTTCTCATCCAAGGCGGTCAAGGAGGATGAGAAGGTCTTAAGCATTTTGCGCAGTTGTACCGACCTCACGGGGCCACTCGCCACGAATGCAATGTTTTTGCTTTTAAAGGATAGCCATGGATGGTCACGGCATCAATTGGTGGAACTCCTTTTGGGGCGGGTTGTGTGTGTGTGTGTGTGTGTGTCCCACCCTGGACAAAGGGTCTTACCCCACCCCACCATTTTTCCGCAGGCAGGGGGGCAGTGGACCACCATCACTCACTGCCCAACGAAGACAGTGATGGATCGGTCGTGAAGCAATGCGGGACGCCGCATTGTGTACCTGCTAGTTTGAACTTTTGCCCACGCTGTTCCAATCTCTCTTGTTTGCTTCCATGGTTGTTCACGTTTCCTCCCCCAAACCTCACGGAGCTTTTTGCAGCTTAGCTTTGCAGCCGACTCGTAGCGCGCCGTTCTTTTCTGCAGACTGGAACAACTTTTTTGAAACACCTACAAGTTTTCGGACCTTTCCACCTTGCCGTTCCATCGCCTTTTTCCCATTGAGACACTTGCGTTAACTGAAAATCCAAGTTCGAAGTGTGTGTGTGTGTGTGTGTGTCCACCCCTGGAAAAAGGGCTCCTTTCACCATTTCCATCAAGCAGGGGGGCAGTGAGTCTCATTCCATCCACTGCCCAACGAAGACGGTGGTTTGAGACTGTGACATTCGGAGAGGACGCTCTCCGAACGTACCTGCCGAATTTTTCACACGCTGTTACCCTACTCTTCCACCTTTTGTTTCATGGTCCTTCATGTTTCCACCCCATAAACATTCGTCCCCAGCAGCTGAGCAGCCGTTTCGCTTTTCCGCCGCTTGCGAGTGCCAACATTGTTCAACAATACTGTTTCAGCTGACCTTTCCACCTTGCTGTTCCATCGCCTTCCTTCCCAACGTGGCAATTGCATTAACTGAAAATCCAAGTTCGAAGTGTGTCCTGCTCAGCCGTCCCACTCGGGTGCTGAGTGTGATCCCCTTCACAGGGGCGCTGTTCTTGCATGGGAAAGCAACCACCCCAACGCTCCACCGATCACTGGAACATCACAGGAAGGCACCGACACCCTCACAGAATCAACCGCCACACCGGCCGCCGGGCCAAAAAACGGTTCTTGCCGAATCCTTCAGACTCCGAACTTCTGATCTCAGATTTCAGCATTCAGTTTTCTTTTCATGTTTTCCATTTTTTCTAGCCTGAGCATACTTGACGGCTAAGTAATCACATGCCTGCACTGCTAAGTATTCACAGGCCGGATGAATTCATCATGCACACCCCCCCCCCAGGCCTCTGTTGCTATCCCACCCGCTACTCGGGAAACAGAAGGAAATCGCACTCAACACACTTGTGTGTTGGTGCCTTTCCTTCTGTTTCTCCTAGCTATTGCTAGCTACCCGGGCGGTGTAAGACGAATGTCCCGCTCGCCTTCTACTTTCGTTTAACTAAGTGGGCCTCGTAATTACACCTACTTTTCTTTCTTGCCCTCTTAGTCTGCTCTTGTTTCGTTGCTTTTTCTGTCTTTCTAAGGCTTTTTAGGTGTCTACTAGTTCTTCGTTGCGCCAACAATTTGGCGCTTTTTGTACAAATGTTCCCCTGGGAGTCAGGACGCTACTGGAGGCCCCTGGCCTTACTACTACTTTGACCGCGCCGAAAAACGGCTCTGTGTGTGTGTGTGTATCCACCCCTGGGCGAAAGGTTTTCTTCCACTTGTTCAACGGTAGGTGTTTTGGAAAAAAGCGCCGAAGCCGGCGATCTGTGTGTGTCCACCCCTGGAAAAAGGGCTCCTTTCACCATTTCCATCAAGCAGGGGGGCAGTGAGTCTCATTCCATCCACTGCCCAACGAAGACGGTGGTTTGAGACTGTGACATTCGGAGAGGACGCTCTCCGAACGTACCTGCCGATTTTTTCACACGCTGTTACCCTACTCTTCCACCTTTTGTTTCATGGTCCTTCATGTTTCCACCCCATAAACATTCGTCCCCAGCAGCTGAGCAGCCGTTTCACTTTTCCGCCGCTTGCGAGTGCCAACATTGTTCAACAATACTGTTTCAGCTGACCTTTCCACCTTGCTGTTCCATCGCCTTCCTTCCCAACGTGGCAATTGCATTAACTGAAAATCCAAGTTCGAAGTGTGTGCACACGTGTGGCGGGCACTTTTCTGTCTCCTGTTTACCGGAGACATTTGTAATGAGCCAGGGGGAAGTTTAGAGCTTGTTGCTTGGGATGACGGATGCTGTGGATGACTGGATGCGCCATGTCATGTCGCCTTCATGTTCCAGATCTTGGTGCCAATTTGCTGATCTTCTCCAGGAAATCCACCAGCTTTTGCTTGTTGTGGCCTTTGTTTTATTTTCTTCCAGGTTCCTTGAGCAAATCCAAGAAAAGGAAATGCTTCAGGCAATATATTTTAGATGACACTTGGCTTCATGACCCGTCCTATGACCCTATCGTCCTGTATAGGGATACATATTTAATTTTGTTTTAAGGGCCGAAGAGGGTGTTGCTGGCACCATTTGGCTGGCAAGCCTTGGATTCTTCATCAAGAATGAGTCAGAAATCACCCCCCACAAAGCACCAGAGCGATTCTGTGGTTTTGTCGGCCAGATCGGACCTTTGCACACTGGCAAAGTGCTATGCGCATCTCTCCGATGGGGAAACGCCCTTCCTGCCCATCCTGTGTGCGGATCTGCCGTGCGGCCAAGACCGCCGGGAAGTCTTGCAAACCATCCAGGACGCGAGCAAAAAGCAGCTGTGGGTTCTGAAGGGTGTTAGATTTCCAAGTTTCACGGACAAGAGTGTTGTGCATGTTTCCTTCAGGTCAGCGAAAGTTGTTCGCACATGTTAATTGGTGACAGTTGTCATCTTAGATCATAGGACTGACCAGGATCAGCTGGCGTCCAAAAAGCCCACGTGAAGTCCGATGCCAACAGGAGATGAAGCCAGTGGATAACGAGGCTGTCATAAAGGCTGGACTTGTGGAGGGCCCGTGTTCGTTATTCGATTCATACGTCATATAAAATATACACACGGAAACTTGACATAGAAGAAGACCACAGCCTATGTCGCCAAAGTGCCCTAAGCCTTAGGACCTGTACTACTAGGGGTTACTATTTTCCACCTCGATACTTATAATATGAATTCAAGTTCAGCGCCGGCTGTCAAAAAGCCTGCAAGTTTTGCATATAGGGCTCCATTAACTTGACCCTTTGTTCGAGCAATGTGTGCGTCGGCCAGCTGAAACAAATCAGCAATCATTCCTGCGCGCGCTCTGCATATTCCAACATAGTCATACATAAACCAATCACTTGGGATCCCCGGTACATGGAGGGTGGTATTTACATCGTATTTACATCGTATGCTGGAGCATCCAAACTCCTTATGATGCAAAGTTCCGATGTTTAGAGATTCATGGGTCCTCCACCTGCAAGATTCGAGGGTCAGCTGCTGGATGGCACACTCAGTTTCTATGCAATGCATGTTGGTTTGTATGTATGTATGTTAATCCAATCCAATCCCGTCCCATCCATCCATCCATCCATCCATCGATCCATCATCCATACATATTCATATGACATATATATATTATATATATATATACATTGCAGAATGTTCCCGGTTCCCTTGATCAATCCAGTGATTTGCCAACAGCAAGCAGGCGATCATGAGGTATCTGGAAAACTGGGAGGGTTTGCTGCCGCTTGGGTCCAAGGAAAGTGGTGGATCGGGGGTGGGAATGGCCTAAGGATTGGGCCGAGGTGTTCAAGGAAAGGATGTTTGCAACTACTCCTTTTAATGTTTGCCTTAGCTCCTACCATAGTACATATATATATATATATATGAATAACATACATCAATTATACACAATTTGTGTGTCGAGTGTTTTTTTGATCTTGGATGTTGTGTAAATGTGTTTGTGCTGTGCGATCTTGGGTTGATATCACTCACGATCTACTTTGCCAATCTTTGATCCCAGACCATAGCCCCTTCTGGGACTTGACTTGACGGTTGTTGCGGTTTTGTCCCTGACACCACCGCAACAAAAGTGGAGGTCCCAAGGATTTTGGAATTTGACGTTTTGGGAGGTCTATGAATCAAGAAAGGATAAGAAAGGTCTTTTCTCATTCCTTGGCCGAACTTATGCCCTATAGAGCTCCAAGCACCTCCTCAGAAGCTCAGGAGGACCTTCCAAACCCACAAAAAAAGCCACCTTCTCGGAAGGTACCTTTTGTTTTCATGCTGGCCAGGACCACCCATGTGATCCATGTGCCCTTGGACACGAGCTCGTGTCCACAAGTTACATTTGCGTCGCATTCGGGACCGGATGCCGCCGGATGCCGAGGAGTTGCTTCGGGCCCATGTCGATGCTGGACGCCTGCCGAGTCATGGAACAGGTGGCCATCAGCGACCCTTCTCCGCTGCACAAGGCGCTGGGCCGAGTCCGGGGTGGGGAGAGGGCTCGGAGAGGGAAGGGTGGATGGTTTCAAGACTTTGCTGTATAGGTGTAGGCTCTTGATGAATAAAGCACCCAATTGAAATGGAACATCCTCTTCATATGGGGAGGTTATTAATCAAGAGTCTACATTAGGGTAGAGTTGACGTCCCTGAACTTTTGACTCTTTTGTGCATGAACTTGGGACGGGACTAGTAGGAGGACGCTACTGCTGTGTTTTTACTCTTGGTCCCCCAAGCAGCAGCAATAAGTTGCCGTCCGCCAAGTTACTGCATCAGATGTGCCATCATAAGATACCAAAAAAGGATTTCATGATAGTTCATGTATGGATGGTTGATTCAGATCCACAAAACACGCATGATGGACGCTCCCTGAAACCACTTCCATGATTGTTGAAGAGAAGGCATGCATACAACATATGACATATGTATAGTACTATATATTGCCATGATCATTTATGACCTGTTGGCGGGTGACTCTGTGCCATACCGCACGAGAGGTGTGGCCCACCATTCGCTCGCTCCTGGAGGCCTATACCCAGCTGCTTAAGGCGCTGGCGTTGCGCTTGGCAAGACCGCGCACCAACGACCTCTATGACTTGCAGTGTCGGAGGTTCTTGCTCGACAAGGCGCAAGAGAAAGGCCGGGACAGAAACGGAAGGACATCTAGAATGAACATGAAGGAACATGACGATGAGGGGTGGTGCTGCCTTGTTCTGAAACGGATCATTTGTGCCTTAGCAGCCTTAGCAAGCCCGGTACCTTTTTTGCAACATCAAACATCCAGAGCCCGGAAATGCACTAGATACTTGTACCGAAGATGGGTCGAACCCAGGGTCCTTCGACCCTCAAAGCCCAGCCCTCAGGGCCTTCCAAAGCCTGTGTGGGCCCACCCAGGCGGTGCGAATGACGAGGTGCTGTCTTGCCTTGCCTCGGGGTTCAGCAGCAGCATCGAGCCAATCAGAGCCTTTTTTTCCAGTTTGGTTGGTGATCCTGACATCCTGACTCTCATCATCCCCAAGAGGCATCCCATGTGGCCACACGGATGAGCTTTGTTTGGTAGGCACTATAGATAAACCCTCAAGAATGTCATTTTGTCCAAGAACACGGACAGTTTGCTGAAGAAAGTCCCAAACAATAGATCCTCAAATGAAGGTGAGTTAGCCAACCAACATGAAGAGCAATTTTTGGGCAAACCACACCGTTTATCCATCCAACACTCAGCGCAATTCGTTTGATTAATTATTGCTTGGGTGTGTCCTATTTCCTGTCACAGTCAGTCAACAAGCAGATATCACGATGTTTGAACTGTCGGCCAAGGCCTGCAACTAGGCCCCATCCACTGAGGCCCAGGTAGACTCGGACCGACCCAACGACCTCGACTTGCGACAGAAGTCTCGTGGGCTCCGGGCCGGGACCCGCCCAGTCCGGGTCCGGCTGAGGAAGGGAGTGCTTATACTTCTTCCAGAAGGTCGCCAAGTCACCGGACGCCGATGTGGTGCAGGCGGCCGAAGCGATCGAGTGTTGGTGTGACTGGCGAGCGGCGCTCCAGCCAGACAAGTCCGTCTGAAGCCGTTTCGATACGGAGGATGTCCTTCCGCAGTCAGGAATTTTGTTACACATTTGAGATTCACCTTGAAATGTGTTCATGGGTTCGCGTATACTTTTCTCGAAATGAGGTAAAGTGAAAGATAGGAGGAGGTCAAGATTCACTCGAATTGGCCAAGTGGGGACCTTGACATATTTTAAGGCTCAAACAGGGCACAGGCACAGTTGATCACTCCTGATGATGGCGACCAGGATAGGGGAGCGGAGTGCCAAGGCTGCGGAGATCCGCTCATAGATCATAAATAATCTTAAATGTTACTAAACTATATGCAATTTAATGTATAGTTCCTTATGTTATAGATAATGTTTGATAGATCCTTGATACATCCAAGGTGCCAAATAGGATGAGAAAAGAACCGCCCAAGGATCCAAGAGACGTAGAGGCAGATCGTCGTGCTGTTGAATCATCGCAGATTCGGTGTAACAGGTCATCACAAGTGCAGGATTGGTGCCGAATATTACGGGGGCCTGAAACTCGTGATGAATCTGACTTCTGCAAAGCTGCTGACTTTGCATTTTGACGCAGGGTCCTAAAATGTTTTGGCATGCCGCAGGCCACACAAGAAATCCATCTCAATCGCCCAGGTGGCACGAGAGGGTGACTGCGTTGTTTGAACAAGTGAATCAACGAAGCATTCCATGGCGACCACACCATGTGCACCAGGTGCTTTTGGAGGTCCTGGACGATGACTTCAGCAGCTGGTCTTGTAGCACTGCCCTCGAAGCGCTGAGAAGTTGTTGCGATGCTGAGCTACTGGAGACACGTGCACTGCGCCATCTGCTGAAGCTACTAAAGACCAAGAGCAATAGCCTCGTGAAATGCGCGGCACTGAAGGCCCGGTGCTATTGCCTGCTGTCGGCGTGGGACCGTGCAGTGAAGGCCCCCGTGCGTGCCGTACTGGGGCCCCAACTGTTGGGTGCTGACACACCCACGTGACAGGCCCCTGACAGGCAGATGACAAGCGTGTTGTGTTTGGCGCGGCACCCCCTTGGATGATGTTTGCTGTGTTTGCATACAATGTAGGTGTGGCAAGTCGCCAAAAATCGATAGAGACCTATGTTCCATCAATTGTTGGGGATGTGGATGCATTTTACACCGATGGTCCAGAGCCGCCAGGGTAGCGCTGCATCCGCAGCAGCATCCTTAGCAACCTTTCTCAGCATAGTGAGAGTATCCTCCATCACTGGAGGCCATTCACTGAAGGCACTGAAGGTAGAGGATGGTAGAGGTGCATTTTGATGTACGCCCCGGAAGATCAACGTGGAACCTGAAGGGATTGGCCAGACTGGAAGACAATTTTCCTGTACACACCGGGCGTGGGTTCTATGTGTCTCTTCTATAGGGCCTGTGTTGTGTGTCGGAAGTCCAATCCAAGGGATTGTGGTACCCAGATGCATCATCCTGGCACTGTCAGAACCAGGCTTGCGGAGGAAAATCGCCTTCCGAGGGTACTGCATTAGAGGCCAGGAGCCCCTGGTAGCGTCCTTGCCTGTAGGGGTGGGGGCGCGTGAATGAAGAGATGCCCAGGCTCTTCATGCCGTGCACAATGGTGAAGTGACTGACCTCGCAGCGCGCCTGGCGCGCCAAGACCCCATCGACAGCGTGCGGCTGGCGGCGCTGCAGCTACTGAGGGGGCAAGAGGCAGCAGAGGCAGTCGACCTGGGAGCGATGTTCAAGTACTTGGTGCCGACCTTTGACACTTTAAACTTTAGATAACTTTGGAGTTTGGCCGAGTAGGATCCTCGGATTTGGCCCTGTCTATGGCCTATACTAGTATGGGCCTGTGGCCTGTGATCAACACCAAAGTCCGGTTCTATAGGAAATGCCTGGAAATGCATTGAGACTGGAAACCCGGACCAAAGACCGCCTTCCGATGTCTTCAAAGCTCCCAGGTCTCTCTCCAGTTTATGGCCCGGCCCGACGAGGTGTCCAACCTGGCCGTGGAAGTGCTCTGCACCGACAGCTCCGAGACCGTGCTGCTGGGCGCGCTGGAGGTCTTGACCCCGCTGAGCGCGGCCGGGAGTGCGGGGAAGGCTGCGGTGGAAGCTGCGAAGAAGCTGTTGATTCATCCCAGCAGACAGGTGCCCTGGAGATGTGTGGGAAGGCTTTTGAAAGGCAAACTGAAAGAAGCATCAACAACCAGCACTGAACCAGCACCACCCAGATGGGTGCACCCAGCGGACCCTGCTGCTGAGGTGGCCGGTGTCGGTGCCGGGGGTGGGTGAAACACACACCACCCGCTCTGGCCGGGCGCAGGGGTGCCTACTAGTGATGCCTAGTGCAAATTTATATATGACCTCTTGGGATTGATTGCAATCATCCGGTCAAAAACCTGGAGGTATCAGCTTTTGGGATCCAAAGTCCGCTGCAAGCAGAATCGCATCATCGGACGAAACAAGACGCAAACCACACCGAGTTGCGTCCGATGTTTTGAGTCACACCGAGGTCCGCTTAGAGAGTGCCCGTTTGCTGGGCACAGCATCCCACGATGCCGCCTCAGGCGTCACAGTGGTCACAATGGCGCTAGAGGCCTTGCAGGCACCAGCCAAGGTGGGCCATGAGCAAAACATGATGCAAATTAGCCAAACAAGAATGGCATGGGGCATTGATAAGCTGGGTTGGGTTGACCGATGCTGTTCCTTTGTCAGGTGTAGGTCTAATGGTCCAATCTGGTCCATATCATTAATTAGTTTAGCAGTTCTTATGGAAGTCTTTAGTACAACCCTTCCGCCATCTTACTTCACACCCTGACTAGTTACTAGCAATCGTGGAAGTCGAGAAGCGTTTGTTTGCAGATGAGGCCATGCGACCATACATGTTCCGTCGTGTTCCACGTCCATTTTTGTTGGATAGAGCCTAGCACCTCCACAGACAAGCCCTGGTTTTGCTAATCATGCGTTCTTTTGTCTAGAAAGGGCAAGGGCTGGAATCTGTAGATATATAATGCCTTGAACAACTCGGCCAGGTTCTGCGTTGTTTGTTTGGGCTCTACTGCTGTGTCTTTCTCCGTTGCTGGATCGGACTCAAACTTTCTCAAGTGACTCACTCTGGCAGGCTGGCAAGCACTAAAACCATACTTGTGGTGCTCATTTTCGCATTGCTACCATTAAGTAACTTCACTTCTACAGCATGTTGACACTTGCCGTGTCAACAGGTATACGTTTCCCCCCCGATGTGAAGAGGTGAGGACCATCGTTGTTTTGAGGGTGCCATGGAGGAGGCTTTGTGGCAAGCTCGAGATTAGCCCAACCAGTTCAAGGGGTTCTGTTCTGGGTAAAACGTTTTTTGGTGGCAAACAGTCTTTTCCAGCAAAACAATGTTTCCGGGTCAACCAGTCTTTTTCAGGTGGGTGTGTGGCCGGAAGTGGATGCAGAAATCTTGTCGCAGAAGGATGCTTGGCAATAGGGGAGGTCCACTCCACGGGGCGGCGATGGCTGCACTTGGGCCCCAGTGAACATTGCACACGGTGAATAAAACTCCTACAGTGTCCTACAGTACCAGAATGGATTTTCATCTCCCTATGAGGGGTTTAATTGATCAACATCCTCGCACCACGAAGCAGATCCAATCCAGTTACCTAGTTGTTTAGGTTTGTGTCGAGTCGGCTTTCCTTGCCCAAGTTGAGGATCATGGTCCCACTTCCGGTCACATACCATCACTGAGTTTTTAACAAGGATTTTTGGGTGGAAGGAACTATATAAATAGAACCTCACGAAGGGAGTAAACTGAGTAAACCAATAACCAGGACAATCCTATGAACAGGTCTAGTCTAGGCTACTTGTAGGTGCCAAATCCCTTCTACGCTAGTAGTTCTTGTGAGAGAAAGAAACGACCCATCAGTCGGGTCCGGTCGCTGGTCGATCGATGTCGTATGAGTCGTATGACCGATCTGTGGGAGGTTCGAGAGCCGCGGGGCTCTCGAGCCGGTCAACACATGCAACCATGACTGTCCCACAGTTGTGTCTTCGGAATGCCCATCCTGTCCGACTGCACGTGTTCTGAGTAAGAGTTGACAGTGATCCCACTGTCAATCATTCGAAAGCAGTCCTGCACAAAGGGTGTAGAGTTCGCAACCCTGTCAAAACAATTGGTTGAACAAACGGATTGCTTTGTGTGCTGTAATTGCAGGTAGGTTCAGGGCGATATCCATGCCTGCCACCACCCCAGAAGAGCCAGTCCAGGAAGAATCTGCGGCGGCCTTGCGTGCTCTTTGAACCCTATGGCGCACCCTTCCGCTCCAGCGGATCACATTTTCTCAAGATTTATTCGGCTTGTGGCGCTCGTGGGCCGAATGCTGGCAGCATGCTGGCCAGTTGTTCACAGGATGTGGATTATACATGATTGTGCTGCTCATCACGGAATGTCCAGCGAGTAGAGGTGGTTAAGCGACCTTTGTGCGTAACAAAGCCCAGGGGTGACAGCATGGTTGAGTTTGGACAACAACATGGTTTAAGGTTTCAAAGTGTTGTTTAAGGTTTAAGGCTTAAGGTTTTAAACTGTTTTCAAGTGTTGTTTTATATCATTTCTTCCATTTATTGGGCAAAACTATATTTTGCCGACTAGGCAGCCAGACTAGCTTTATTGTTTCTCCTTGTCACCAGGATGTTTCTTCAGGATGCTGTGAATTGGTCGTCTCCGATGTTTTCAGATCCTGTGGGCCTCCCAAAGCTGCAGGCCTTCCTCAAAGGATTGCGAATTGGGCAGGGGTCTTTGGCTACGTTCAATGACCATTTTAGTTTAAGAAGGCCTCCCGGGAAGTTCAGTTTCGTGATTTGCCTTGCATAAGAGTGAAAGAGTATGCACGGGCGTCAAGGCGGGTTTCACAAGATTCCTGGAAGGCTTGTTTGAGCCTTTAGCTAGGAACCTTGCCTGAATATTCAGAACTTTGTAGCTCAACAATCAGGAGGGGCAATTGTTGGCGGTGTTAGTGTCGCCCAGTTCAGTTTGCAACGGATGTTGTTCCTGCCCAACAGAATCTTTGATCCCGTCGCCGCCTGTCGCCGCCCAGCCGTTCCAAGAACTCACTCTGGGCGGCTGTGGAGAAGCCAAACAGCTAGCAGAGAAAAGAAGGAGAAAAAACAGGTGACTGAGTGACCTGTGACTGGAGTGTGCTACTTCGCAGGTGGCCCTATTGGCCTTTCGGATGCAGCTGAGCGGTGGACATGTCGACCCATCAGTGGCACTTGATTACTTGATCAACATGATGCAGGGAGTACGGACTTGAACATCATTAAAGGCACTTTTGGAGAGTTGTTGGACATGAACTTATGGGGTTCCCGAGATTGCTTTAGACAGCAGGCTGAGGCTAGAAGGTGGTTTAGGAGGAACCTTCGCTATGGGTGGATACAGACCAGAGACTGGAGTTTTTGCGCGACTAAAACTTCGCCACATCAGAGCTATGGATGGAGTGGCATATGCATGAATCCCAATAGTTTTTGTGTACAACCAACTATGGGACTTTGGGGGATCCACCCATCACCCACCCACCCAGAAAAACTCCACGTTTCGGCCAGGCAGCGGCGACCTCTCCCACTTCGGCCTCGCGCTGGCCGGGCGCAGCGTGGCCTTCCGAGAGATGGGCCGTGCACGAGCCGGGTGCGACCGGGAACGTCGTCGTTGGTCCCGTTGGTGGGCGGTGTGGAGAAACTCTCAGAGGTGCTGCCTGTTTAAATAGATATTATCGTGATGAACATTTAGAACCTAGACTCTACTGCACTTGGTAGAGGAAACTATATAAGTTATATATAAGGTTTTTTAAGTCTAACATGTTCTAACCCAGAGTCGAAGACATAATTTTCCTCGGTGTAACATGGATGCGCCATTCGCGTAAAACCACTGGTCAAGATTGCAAAATAAGGAGGGTCAAACGTCTTCATCCTGCAGAATCCTGCTCTTTGCTTGGAAATGGGCAGGCTTCCCCGTCAAGCCGAATTACATGCACGTTGGATTGCTGTTTTCTGTTTGGGATTGCTGGTTTTCTTCTGGCAGACCTTGGAATCCCCCATGGCTGTAGGGTTTCCAGCTTGCAAACTCCCCGAAACTGCTGAAAACAACCACCTTTTAGAGTTTAGACTTTAGATGGTGATAGGCAGAGATCCATCAGTGTCGACCCCCCAACCGGGAGCTCCACACCACCAGGCTCCCTGCAGAGCCGAAGGTCTTGGCCGCCTCCCTGGCAGACGCACGCGCTGCGGCCGGTTCCAGCGCGAGCGGAGCGGGGAGGACGAGCGGGGAGGACGAGGGTCCATCGACTTGGTTTGGAAGAAAGGATGACACTCCTGTGTCCAATGTGGTTCAGTTCAACTTTTACATACTTTTACCTTTGACCAAGGGTGCTGGAAGGACGGCCTGAAAGCCAGTCTGAAAGCCGATAAAACACCTGGTCGCTACTCGAACTGGGAGAGTTGAACCCTCCACAGTTTCTTGGCTGAACATCCATCAAGGGCACACCTACGACAGTCTGGGAGTGCAGGACAGACAGTTACAGTACCAGGATGGGGTTGATGGACGCCCCTTAAGGTGGACTGAGGGCCTGGAATTGCGATCGGCAAAATCGCTCCAGGCATGCACCCTGCAGTTTGCCAAGACAGTTCTTTGCATTGGTTCTCTTGAGTCGCAATACTTAAGTTCTAGATGCAACGTTGGCCTAATGTATAATCCCAGACACTCCATGTACGCCATGCCTACATTGACCCCTTTGGCACCACCCCAACTGATCGGCCAGTCCTATGGCAGTCCCAGACAGATCGTGTATGGGAATTAACGATTGGAATCGCGGCGAGCATTCCCCGGACGAAAATGAAAAGCATCAATGCCAAATAAGACTAAGAAACGGCTAGTAGTAACAGGTGCCTCGCTAGTAGTAACAAGTGCCTTACTAGTGGTAACAATGTTTGCTATTAGAAACAAGTGCCACGGTCGTTGGCCAATACGGAGGTGGTTGTTCCTCCGCCCACGTCCACCTCCGGACGGCCGGTGGAGCTCCATCTCCTCCATGGAGGTCTCTTTGGCCCAGCAGCTCACGTCCAACAGCACGCTCGCGCTCAAAGCAGCAGCGACCTCAAGACCCGAGGACAGGCCCCCCCCTGGTGACCAGAATCAGATAGAGATGGAAGAGAAGGACGATGTATTGGTAAATGGTTGGGTTAAGTGAGTTCCTTCCAGAGCTGTGGAGCCTGGGTTTGGACCCTTGAAGTGTGTGAACTAGTTCGCTTTAGCCAATTATAGGCAGGGAAGCGTCGTCGCCGAGACATATATAGTTTCATTGATCAAAGAGGACTTCTTCAAGCTCTTTCGCGTGTTGGACGCCCCTCCGCGGAACATGAACACTGGCCGCAGAAGATGTTTCGTCCTTGTTTTTACCCTGCCAACCTATATATCTTCCACCTCGAGAAACACAGTCTTAGCACTGTCAACCGAATCAATGCACAGCTTCGTCTTGTCGAATTGATAACAAGATGGAACCCACGAACCCGAATGCAAACACGTTCGAAAAACTACATATGTCCAAATGACACTCTTGTGTGACACTCTTGTAGGACACTCTTGTGGGACACTCTTGTGGGACACTCTCGCCTGCATTTCGCGCACTCGACACGCACGATCTCCGCAGAGGGTTGCGCGCGCATGGGACAAATCGCACTCTCGCCTGCATTTCGCACACTCGACACGCACGATCTCCGCAGAGGGTTGCGCGTCAAGTCTCCAAAACGAGCGTTTTGTACGAGACTTTCTCAAAAACACTTACACGTCAAAGTCTGCAAAACGAGCGTTTCGTACGAGACTTCCTCCAAAAGTCAAGCGGAAACACCCATCGGAGCACACACATCACGCAGCCCTGCCAAGCAGTTTCGCGATTCCAGCCCCTCCAAAACAACATCCACTCACACGCCAATCCCAATGTGACAGCAACATTCACCTCTACCAACCTCACGATTCCCTGCGCCTGCCACGAATCTTTCCGCGTCCACACGTCTAACGCGCACAAAATACTGCGCCTGCCACGAAATGTCACCTCCGTCACACCTCGCAACCTCACGATTCCCTGCGCCTGCCACGAGAATCGCACTTCCACGCCTCAAAACCCGCACAAAGTCCTGTGCCTGCCACGAAAAGTGACAATATCATCTCATGTGAGCTTCAACAAAATTTGCACCACACCACACGTTTGGAATGATTTCGACCCGTTCTGAGCACACTCCCATCCCCCAAAACCGCCATTTCAGCTGAGACTTGTCACGAAAACCGAGCTTCGATGCCACACCCTGAAACGCAAATCCCAATGGCACGGCCACATCCAACACCCCAAAAACACGACGCTAATCCCAATGGAACTGCGCAGCAATCTGCGGATCTCACAAAACGCTGCGCCTGTGCAGCGAAATGCATCACGTTTCTTGCGCGACATGTCATTGTCATGCAAATCACCATGGAATAGCGGCGCAAACTGACACGTGACACATCCATGCAAAGTCACTTGCAAAAGCTTCCCCCAATGGCAGCGAATTTGAGACGCAACGACGACGACAAACGACGACAGACGACGAGAGACGACGAGACGACGCAAGCCATGCAAACACAGCTCCAACCCCCAGACCCCCAACTATAAACGGGAACCCTTCGCTACGCATTCGGGAAAAAATCTCTGCAGGGACTGCCGGACTGCCGTAATTACTCGAGAAGCGAGTACTTCTGTATATAGATCCCACGCACGATTCATTGGGACTCTGAAATCGTCAAGATCAAACCATCAATGTTCCACATGGAAATCTTTGAGCATGATGTTCCTTCAAACCATTTGGATCGCTCACCGTTTCCCCAAAGATCCCAAATCATTTGGACTCTTGCGAGGCTCGTGCATTGAACGCGGCCCTGGCTGAAAGTGGTGAAGGGCCAATGGAGGCCCAGCAGGCCTGTGATGCCTTGGCAGGTGCCTTGAGAAGTTGGGTCCGGAAACGTCTCGGATGAAGACCGACGGTAGCGGTCGGTGGCAGGTCACGGTAGCTGTGTTACATGGGACGGATCATGGGACGGAGCGGGTCAAGTTGTGGTCGCTTGTAACCCTGGAATGCAACCAACTTCTAGTTGGAAGTCTCTCTAATCAAGGACGCATTATTTCATTACATCTTATCATTGCTACTTTGTTGTATTTGCTGGTTCTAAGCTCTTTGAAAGCTTGTGTTGGTCAGGTACAAACCGTAAAGAGGCATTCAAATCACCCTAGCTTCCTTGATACCATGCTGCCCCAACCAACCTGTCATCTATATGTTCCTTGTTCCTTGTACCAGGTACTTTCATTTGGGGCCTCCCGATTTGAATGAACACCCAAATATATAATCCCAAATATATTTCGTATACCCTCCCTCAAACAAGGAAGTGGACATCCTCCTGTTTGTAGATCCGAAGTGGTGGTC